TGCTCTCCCACAATATGGCACTGGGAGGGGAGTAAACAACTTCTACACAGCTGCCTCCAGTTCAACCAATAACCTGCAGGAGCTGATCCTGCTCCTGATTGGAGGAGAGCAGCGTATTCGGCGTGTGGGTAGCAGAATTGGGATTGGTGGAAGAGGACTATAAAGGAGGAGAGAGACAACATGCACCAGGAACATCTAAGGGGAACATCCGGATAACATCTGAGCAGCCCCCGAGAGAGCCCGCCAGCGGTGTGCTGCTCCCCCACGGAAGTGGGGAAAGTGGCAGGGGGAACCGCCCTTCCATGGAGGTGGAAGGGTTGGCAGCCAACCCGGGAAGGAGCAGCAGCAAACCCGGGAAGGGCCGAGCAGACGAAAGAACAGCGCAGGGTCCTGTGTCGTTTCTCCGTGAAGAGGGGGAGTGACAGAGGTCAACAATAGAACATTCATAAATACATGGAAATTAAACATGCAACCGAGTGATCAAGTGATTTCACTGAAGAAATCAAAAAGGAAATAAACTTTCTTGAAATAAATGAAAATGAAAACACACATATCAAAGCCTGTAGGATACAGCAAAAGCAGTATTAAGAGGGAAGTTTATAACAGTAAGTGATTACATTAGGAGGTAGCATTGTGACGTGGGAGGAGTAAGTTCAAGAGATCAATTGCACCACGTTGCAACTACAGTTAACAATGTTGAGGGCAGCAGTGCTGTGGTGCAGTAGGTTAAGCCTCTGCCTGTGGTGCCAGCATCCCATATGGGTACCGGTTCTAGTCCTGGCTGTTCCTCTTCTGATCTAGCTCTCTGCTATGGCCTGGGAAAGCAGAAGATGGCCCAAGTCCTTGGTCCCCTGCACCTGCGTGAGAGACCTGGAGGAGGCTCTTGGCTTTGGACAGGTCCAGCTCCAGCCATTGCAGCCACTTGAGGAGTGAACCAACAGATAGAAGACCGTTCTCTCTGTCTGTAACTCTACCTCTCAAATAAAGTCTTAAAAAAAAAAGTTGAATCAAAAACTAAGTGTCCACTACCCAAAAATCAGGATGTGAGGTAAAGCACATGTTTTAACTCACCCTAGGCATTCCACAACATATATGTATTTTAAGACATAGGGGCCGGCGCCGCGGCTCACTAGGCTAATCCTCCACCTTGCGGCGCCGGCACCAGGTTCTAGTCCCGGTCGGGGCGCCGGATTCTGTCCCGGTTGCCCCTCTTCCAGGCCAGCTCTCTGCTGTGGCACAGGAGTGCAGTGGAGGATGGCCCAAGTGCCTGGGCCCTGTACCCGCATGGGAGACCAGGAGAAGCACCTGGCTCCTGCCATCGGATCAGCGCGATGCGCCGGCCATTAGAGGGTGAACCAACGGCAAAAGGAAGACCTTTCTCTCTGTCTCTCTCTCTCACTGTCCACTCTGCCTGCCAAAAATAAAAAAATAAAAAAGACATAGGGCCAGCGTAGTTCAGTAGCAGGTAAAGCCACTGCCTGCAATGCTGACATCCCATATGGGTATTGGTTCTTGTCCTGGCTTCTCCACTACTGACGCAGCTCCCTGCTAATGTGTATGAGAAAGGCATTGGGAGATGGCCCAAGTGTTTAGGCCACTGCCATCCACAAGGGAAACCTGGATGAAGCTCCTGACTTTGGCCTGGCCCAGCTCTGGCTGTTGAGGCCATCTGGTGGATTGCACCAGCAGATGGAAGATTTTTCTATATTTCTCCTTCTAACCCTTTCAAATAAATAAAATCAGAGAGAGACAAACAGACATGTTAGGGGCTATTGTGGCATAGTGGGTTAAGCCACTGCATGGGCCCTTGTACCCATATGGGAGAACTAGATTAAACTCCTGGCTTCCGGCTTTGGCCTGGACCAGCCCTGGCTGTTTCAGTCCTTTGGGAGTGAACCAGTGGATGAAATTCTGTCTCTCTGCCTCTCTATCACTCTGCTTTTCAAATAAATTGTAAAAAAGATGCTGTAGACAACATAAAATTTGCTCATTAAAACAAAGAAGGCTGGACTATTGCCTGACACACACCTGCAGTAATGAGTAGGTTGGAGATCCCTGGAGGCCAAATCCAGGCCTTGAGGTCTGATGGTCGAGGTCTGAAGTCCCTGTGGGCCAAGGGAATGCCTGTTTCAGGACAGCTGAACGCCAATGAGATGATGCAGAGAGAAGAGATCCAAATGAAAGAAAAGCCAATTATCGGGGAAAATAAGATTAATTTACTTGGGCATAGACTTATTGAGAATGGGCAAAAATAACATCCTATAAGAGACTAAGATGGCTGAATAGGGAGGAAGCTTACTGCTCTAGTCTAGGAGAAGATCGTTTTAAAAAAGTGGAGAGAGCGCGCAGTCTCAGGGAAGAGTGAGGAGGAAAAAGGCAGAGGAAACTTCACACAAATTAGAGAGACACTGGGGAGGGTGTGCACACACACAACTCAGGACCCCAGCAGCCAAGAACCTCAGCCCTAGCTCTGGAGTGAGGCGAGACCAGTCTGGAGCAGCCCAAGCCACTGGCGATAAAGCTAGGGGGAAGAGCCTGGTGGGAATCTGACTTGGAGCCCTGTGGGAGACAGTGTACCTGCCAACCTAGAGGAGGAAAAAAAAGGGGGGGAGCAACATGCTTCTCTCTTCCCAATCACCCTGCAATGGCACTGTTGAGAAAATGGCGCAGTTTTATCTATGGCGCAATCTACAACCTGACACCATCCTAGGCTCTAACCCCCTGCTGCCATTGCTGGAAGCCAGGTGGCCACGTGACCCAACCACCAGTGTCAGCTCCACCCCCATCCTAATGGGATTCGCTGCTCCTGCTTCCCTGCCTGCCCTCTGGCAAAGTTTTAAAGAGGCTGTTCCTGAACACGTGGCTCTCCTGGCTCCTCTTGTCTGCTCTCCTCTCCCCCTCTAGTCTCTTCTCTCCTCGATAGCTCCTCTCCTCTCTTTTTGCCCTCTTTGCCCCTTCCCTCAGGTCTGCTGGGTTTCCTCCCTTACTCCTGTGTTTGGTATGTTTTGTGACGGCCTAACAGGCACCTCATAACAACCCGATAGAGGGCGGGCACCATTTTGGACATAAGTTAACAGCTGTGCCGGCTGGTGTCTGTGCACCCAGAAACCAGAGGAGGAGCTGAGACACCTAAGTCTTGTGGGGAGAACTGACAGGGACCTGGGTGCTCGTGGCTGTAGGAGGTTTGTGTGCCAGGACTGTGAAAACACTCAGAATGCATGGGGGCACTCAGGCTGTGGCTGAGACTTTGGGCAGTCACTGTGGGAGGCTCAACATGCTCAGAGCTTCCTGATTCCCTGATGAGGGTCATTGCTGTTTAATCTGTGCATACACCAAGGACTACACAGATCCTTTGTGTGGTTATTGTGGGAGCACTGACAAATATACCCACTGGGGCTGGAGTGCCCAGGCACTGGTCTCCTTTGAGAAGAGGTGAGCTGAGTCTACTCCAACAGAGCAGAACAAACCTCCCATATGATTAAAAAAAAAAAAAAGAAAAAAGGAGATTTATCATGCCCAACCCAAATGTGACCTTGGACACTCCCTTCACCCTGCAGCACTGAGTTCCTTGGCCACACCCACCACACACCTTTAGATATTCACTGAAAAAGCAGAAGACAATCCACTAATCTACAGAGGCATAGTCCAAAGATAAAAGCCACCACAGGAAAAAAAACAGATACCAGATAATATATGCAACAACTCAAGAAACAAGAATAAGGAAGACAATATGACACTCTCAAAAGAACACAACACTTCAATACCAGTATGTGAAGATTAAGAGACTGAAGAAATGCCAGAAATGGAATTCAAAAAATTGATCATAGAATTATTTAGAAGTAATCAGAAGTAAATGCACAAACTAATCTATACATGACATGAAAGAATTTCTCCCACAAAGTTGAAATCTTAAAGAGAAATAAAAATGAAATCTTGGAAATGAAGAATTCAACAGAATTTCAAAAATGCAGTGGAAAGCCTTAACAGAATTGGTGAAGCAGAAAAAAGAATCTGACTTAGAAGACAAATCACAGGAAATTATACAGTCAGACCAAAATCAAGAAGAAATTAGAAAAATAAACACTATTAGGAATCTACTGGATACTATCAAACAACCCAACATATAGAGTTTAGGAGTTCCTGAAAGTGTGGAAAGGGAGAAAGGATTAGTAATCTTTTTTAGTGAAATAGATAACGTCCTTAATTTGGAAAAAGAGACATCCAAATACAAGAAGCACATAGAACACCTAATAGACATGACTAGAAAAGATGTTCACCATGACACATTTTAATCAAACTCAGCACAGTAAAACAGAGAAAAGATTCTAAAATGTACGTGAGAGAAACACCAGCTTACTTTCAGAAGATCTCCAGTTAGACTCACAGTGGACTTATCAGAAACCTACAGGCTAGGAGAGGATGGCAAGAATTATTCCAAGTCTCAAGAGAAAAAAAAAAAAAACTGTCAACCCAGAATACTATACCCTGCAAAGTTCACATTTATGAAAATGGAGTAAAGACCTTCTATAACAAATAGAAATTGTAAGAATTTGTCACCACTCATCCAGCCTTGCAAAAGATGCTTAAGGATGTGCTGCGCACAGAAACATGGTCACCACTATGAAAGAAGGTGAAGGCAGAAAATCTCTCAGTAAACTGAAGAGTTAAAATTGTATATGTGCGGGTGTAAAAAGTTAAGCTTAAGCTTACAGGTTTAAACCTTGCTGGTACAGCTGTAAAAAAATAAGACAGAGTAGCACCTTGGCAGTAGGGACTCCATTTTGGAGCACTTGAGACTGCATTCTGGGAAAGCACCCCCCCACCGTGAGACTCTGGTCTGAAACTATGATCTCAAATAGTCGGACAATAGCAGTGCACTACATCACCCTTGGCAACACACAAAAACCCCCTAGCATGATTGCTCAAGCTTAAAAGTAGAAAGGTTGCACCTGGGTTACCTGGGCTAATAATGAAGATGTGATTTGTCTGTGTCTTACATTAATGTCAAGTCCTAATTGCTGATTGTAATATTGTAACTGGTATTGTCAAGATTATGATAAATATTAATTTCACTTAGGTTTTAGGTTATGTTGACCCCAGTAACCATATACTCTCTTTTGATTTTATGTACTCTCTTTTGATTTTAGCAACTGTGTATAGCAACCGTGCATAGCAACCATGTATTCCCCCCTTCCCGGTTTTGCGGTTTTTGCCTTTGTAAACCCTAACCTTTGGTTATTCGGGGCTGCTCTGTTCATGTATGGTCAGACAGCCCCAGCATGCTGGATAATCAATAAAGCTTCCCCTTGCTGTTTGCATAAGAGATGTCTCTTGGTGACGTTTTTCGGGCAGTCGACTCTAACATTTGGAGGCCCCAGCGAGATCTGACTGCTGCCTGTGGACGTCTCCAATGGATATCTCTCGGGGTAAGTGCAGGCGCCTATTTGTGTTGTCGGCCGGCTTATTTGTGGTTTGTGTCTCTTCATTCTGGATTTTGGTAGTTTGTGAATGCTCTAGGGTTTTGGGAACTGTGCTGGTGTAGTAGCCGCTGGGACAGGGGCGTGAGCCCTTCCTGGCTGTGGCCGGCAGACGTGCCCGGGGGCCACAGGCTACGGCCCTGAGGGACGCCTCAGGAGGACAAAGGAAGGCTGGGGACGCCCAGAACTTCCGACTGGCAGGCATGGAGTCTGCATTCCCAGCACTGACGGGGTGGCCAGTAAGGCCTTCTTATTATTAGTCTTTTGTAGTTGTAAGGTGCTTTGTTGGTTGTCTTGTTGTTTGTTGATTGTATTCTCTTGTCATTTAGCATTGTATGGGGCGCTGTGATGGCTCCCATTTGGTAGATTTGGAATCTGTGTTTGTATTGCCAGCATTGTCGCGTGACTCTGAAGTGGTTCTGGAGTCTGCATTTGTAGGTTCTGAAGTGGTTCCGGAGCTTGCATTTGTATTACCGGCATCCTCACAGGGCTCTGAGGCGGTTCCAGAGTCTGTGTTTGTATTGCTAGCATCGTCGCGACCAGTAGTTTATCTCAGTTCCTCTACGGACACTTTGTGTGGTTGTTGTGTGCTGATTCTCTACACTGTTTGTCTGTTCGTGTACATTGTGTTGTCTGCTAACATGGGCCAGACTGTGTCTACACCTTTGTCTCTAACTTTAAATCATTGGTAGGAGGTAAGCGACCGGGCACATAACCTTTCTTTGTCAGTCAAGAAGGTAAAGTGGCAGTCTTTCTGTGCCTCTGAATGGCCCCCCGGAGGGCTCTCCATTTACCACTCATTCGCCAAGTGAAAGAGGCCGTTCTCCTGCCTGGCCGTCATGGGCACCCAGACCGGGATTTTGAGAAAACATCGGAGGTCAGTATTCCTTCCCTCAAGCGGGACCGGATCTGTGGAAGTGACCGTTGAGTGTCCGGCACCCCACAGCTCTCCGAGAACGCGGAGTCCCCCTGGCCACGGCTTAGCTACGGCCGAAACTCCAGAGGGATTGTAAGGAATGGGAGGGAAATTAGGAAGGGCAGTTGGCTGAGAGCCTGGAGATCCCCTGAGTTTGCTTTGGCTTCCCGGCAGCCGGACTGTGACCCGAGCACCAGGTCTCTCTCTCGGAGGGACACCTGATCACGCTGCCTACTGCTACGCGAGCAGGGCTTAGCTTCGGTCGAGGCTAATATTGGCCCTTCAGGTAAACTCAGACAACTAGGTTGTGGGTAACCTTGAGCAATAGGAGATTTCAAACCCCACCCAGCCCCCAGACCGGAGGAGGTCATTGCTTTCTGCCTTCCTCCTCCTGGGGGGGGGGGCTCCTTCCCCCACTCTTTTGCTCTCCTCATCTCCATTCCTATACCACTGGGCAGGAGAAAGGGAGAGGGAAATTCCACAAGTCTCTCCACCTAGGAAAAAGCTGTTACCTGTTACCTGTTAACCCTTTCCAACCTGGTAGAAAGTTTTCCGTCTTTGCAGCTTATGGTAGCTCTGGTGCGTCTTAAAGTTTTTTGTGAACTATTACTGTTGCTAAGCTTTGATTGCCTGAGGACTAAATCTGGAAAAGAGCTAAAGTTAACTATCTGTTGTAATTGACTGAGTGTCTGCAGTAGTCCTAATTAATCTGGCTTTGGTTAAATTATAGGAGGTTCCCAACACTCTTGGTAAAATGGCGCACCTACCCAACCCCACGGTTAGTCCTGCCAGGCCCTGGTGTGTGCAGTCTTCCCTGTAAATGGGGGACCACAGCCTTTCTCTGCACTCTATTCTAGTCTGTGTGGCCTGCCGCACCCAGGCAGGCATAGCCAAATATCTCTAGGCAGAGCCCCCACCCAAGGGCTGCTTTTTTTCTCTCCTCTCCTGGAGGAATTTCCAATTCAATACTACTGCTGGCCTTACCTAAGGGAGCCAGAACCTTAAGTCATTAACCCTTTCCAACCTGATGGGTTTTTCTCTTTGCAGCTAATAAAAACCTAAACAATGGGTTCATATGCTGATAATCAGCTCTTTTCTGTGCTGCTGTCCCTGACTCATCTGAGAGCATTCACCTGTGTTGAAGGTTTCGCGTTTTTCTATTGCCATTATGAGTCTTGATTGGAAAAACTACAGCGCGAAGTTTGTTTACATTGTTTATCTGTTTTTAATGTCTAAGTAATTACCCAACTGATCAGAAATGTACTAATTTTGGCTAAATGGTTTGACTCTCTGACAGCTTAAATTCTAAACCGAGTCTTCCAACTTTGGGCTTCCAGTCGGATCCCTGGAACTCTCAAAGGATGAGACTAAATTTGTTAAAGTAACAGCTGCTTGGGTCAATTCAGATTATATAAAATATATTAAAATGTTATAAATAGTGTCAGACCTATGCTGTATTTATGTTTTTGCTTTCCAGCTAAAGCGGTCTTATAAAAATAAGAGTAAAATTCTGTGTATACAAGCCTTTATGTTGTTAACTAAAGTAAGCCAATACAGATTGGTTCAGAAAATTGAGGTAATGCAAATGCCCTTCGGTTTGCTCAGTGGCTTGCTTGCTCAGTTTTACATGTCTTTGATATGCTTTAAACTTGTTTCTCTTAATGAGGAAGATCTTTTCAAAGTTGTAAACATACACTAATGTTTGCTGTCCAGGAGGTGTTATCCTTGTGTTACTTAAAAACATAAAAATGTAATTTTAACTTTTATTTCAGATAATGGTGTGGTATTCATTAATAACTCAGTGTCTTAAGTCATCTAGGCATCAGTGCTAAGTAAAACTTGGAAAAATATATTATATATACTTTTAACATCTCAAATTCAATAAAAAAAACTGTTTGAGTTTGTTAACATGTATTCTCATAGGTTGGCCATACATGACAATTCAAGACTATGTAAAAATAACTATAAGTATAAAGTTTCAAAAGGTGTAAACAAGTCATAAAAAGTTTTAAAATGTTTATAATTTTAAAATATTATTTACAGAGTTAAGTGCTAATACCAAAATTACACTGACCTAAAGTTAAAGTCTAATCTTCTGTTATAACAATGGGGTTTAAAAAAAAAAAGTGTACTAATGTTAGTAAATATCTAAAAATGGTCTAAATCATAAATCTTAAAATCTGTTTCTGCAAAAACTGTAACGTCTATTTTAACAGTGTCTGCTTAATCGATTACTCTGCCATTTCTAGAGTTAGGTCCTGTAAGCTCTTTTTGACTCTGTTAAATAATTCTGTATTATGTAAACTCTTATATACAAGGTTTTTTTTTTTATTTCTGGTTTATTCGACAACAAGAGACATAAAATTCATGTTAATCCATTGTGTACTCTACTGTCTCTGTTAAGTTATGGTTATGTGGCAGATGCTAAAAAACTGGGTTCCAGAAACCCAAGAAAGCGCTAGTGTCCACAGGCTACACGGTAAATACCCGGAAGCCAAAGGATGGCAGAGACCTCTGCCACAATTTCTCCTCTAAGTCAGGCTACGCAGTAAACACTGGTTAAACTGCCAGTTAAATCTAAAAGCCCAGAAAGTCAGGCAGTCAGGCTAGAGACCCAACTTGCTGCCTCACTTCTCCTCTTTTCTCTTCCAGAAGGGAAGTTACTACTATTCTGCAGGACTCTCCACTGTGACGTACGGTTTGATCCCCAGACCTTATGTAAGGGATGACTGACCTTTTCTGTAATAATGCCTGGCCACAGTATAGGGCCCCAAACAACATAACAAAAGAAAAAAAGGGGGGGGGGTTAAACTACTAGATCAATTTTTCAGTGTACGTGTTAAATGGGCAGAACTCCCCTTTTAAACCAAACTAAAAAATAGATAAAAAGTTAAACTGACGACCTCAAAGTATACAAACAGGTCACCACAGTTGATCTTACCTAAAGGGTCATAGTTCTCCTCATGGGCACGGTCTTAAGTGTCAGAATTTGCCCATGACCATAATTTTTCTAGCTCACCCTGATATTAAAAAATCTCCAAAAATCAGGGTTGGGTTGGGCACCCCCTTGACTTGCATCATAGAGGCTGCCTCCATGGTCCACTTTATTAGAGACCAGTGGAATGAGGAGCAAGCTAGCAGCAGGAGCAATGTATGGATGGGCAACAGGCCAATCAATGGCTGCTTTACACGGTGATCTGCCGTCAAGGAGACCCAGCAAGGCCAGTGCACCCCAAACCTGTGCACCTGTTGCTGATATAAGGAGCCAGGGCATTGGGCAAGCAGCTGTCGTAACAGCAAATGCCTTCTGTCGGCCCTGCCAAGAGCACAGCCACTGGACACGGAACTGCCCTGGGTGTCGAAGGACTCCTGGTTCAGAACTACAGACCCTGTGGCCCCGAGCTAAAAAGCCTTTGGCTCTGCCCAGCCTCTGCCCAGCTTCCAATTCCAGCCACTGCTACTGGGGATGGCTTAGGGTCAGTAAAACGTAAGTTGCCTATTTCTATCAGCCTCCTATTTAACTCTCCTAGTCCAGCCATGTAATGCGAGTCAACAGGGTGCCTCCCTTAAAGGAGATTTGCATCTCTTACAATTTTCTTAACAGCACCCCATGGATAGGTCTGGGCCACACACACCCTGCCAGGCCTTAAAAGTCTATCCAATAGTCCAGGGGGAAGTGGTCCCCTCCACTCCTGTACTGAAACTATAGATGCTTCTCTTTACACCGTGTGTTTTTAATGCCCTTATTTGTTTTGTCTCTAACAGACTAAAAGCTGTTAACTCCAAATGGTCATCAGACAAGGCTTCCAGCCCATTCCACTGGACTACCTGAGCAGCCCTCTGGACCAAGCAGTACAGTCTCTCCAAGGCCACTGTTGCACACCATAAGACAGGTAGCAAGAGGAAATACCCAAATCCCCCTCGACGCCCACCTGCCAGCTTCGAAGAAGTTACAGAAGACGGAACTCCATCCATAATCCCAAAGAAGAATTTTGGGTATTACCTCTTGAGGAAAAAATATTAGGCAGAAAGTTAGTTATGAGCTTATGTGTGTGTGACATAAAGGCCTAATGTGTCCACCATATGCATCTGCATCTCAGTCATCCTGACAATGTTTCATGGACAGCCCGGCCTTTGCATCCTGCCCTGCCCCCTTCTACCTGATAACCTGCCAGGTGGAGATCCCCGCCCCTTCTGCCTGACAAATCTTCCACAGTCTCCCAGATGTAGCCCAGTATCTGCATTTCAGTATTACAGAACAGGCGGGGGTTGGATCTCATTTTCATGAGGGGGGGTGTGTGTTATGCGCAGCCCTAAAGGAAAAATGTTGTTTTTATGCTGACTAAACCCAGGTGGAAACTTCATGGCCAAACTCAGAAAACGACTGGAAAAATGGCAACAGGAGAGGGAAACTCAACAGGGATGGTTTGAGTCATGGTTCGGCCAGTCCCCATGGCTTACTACTCTACTGTCAGCCCTAACAGGACCCTTAATTGTTCTACTCCTAATTGTAACCATAGGACCTTGTGTGTTAAATAGACTCATCACCTTCGTGCGGGAACAAGTTAAAAATGTTAAACTCATAATCATAAGACAACAATATGTCACATTAAAAGATACAAAAACAAATCTCTAAGATTAGAGATCCTCACAACAAGGAGTGGGGAATGAAGAGTTAAAATTGTATATGTGCGGGTGTAAAAAGTTAAGCTTAAGCTTACAGGTTTAAACCTTGCTGGTACAGCTGTAAAAAAATAAGACAGAGTAGCACCTTGGCAGTAGGGACTCCATTTTGGAGCACTTGAGACTGCATTCTGGGAAAGCACCCCCCCACCGTGAGACTCTGGTCTGAAACTATGATCTCAAATAGTCGGACAATAGCAGTGCACTACATCACCCTTGGCAACACACAAAAACCCCCTAGCATGATTGCTCAAGCTTAAAAGTAGAAAGGTTGCACCTGGGTTACCTGGGCTAATAATGAAGATGTGATTTGTCTGTGTCTTACATTAATGTCAAGTCCTAATTGCTGATTGTAATATTGTAACTGGTATTGTCAAGATTATGATAAATATTAATTTCACTTAGGTTTTAGGTTATGTTGACCCCAGTAACCATATACTCTCTTTTGATTTTATGTACTCTCTTTTGATTTTAGCAACTGTGTATAGCAACCGTGCATAGCAACCATGTATTCCCCCCTTCCCGGTTTTGCGGTTTTTGCCTTTATAAACCCTAACCTTTGGTTATTCGGGGCTGCTCTGTTCATGTATGGTCAGACAGCCCCAGCATGCTGGATAATCAATAAAGCTTCCCCTTGCTGTTTGCATAAGAGATGTCTCTTGGTGACGTTTTTCGGGCAGTCGACTCTAACAAAACGTACTAAGGAAATTCAAAGGGGAAAAAAATTAGGAATATTTATGGGAAAACGGCAGGGCCAAGTCATGACTTATCAATAGTCACCTTGAATGTAAATGGCTTCAACTTTCCAGTTAAAGACAGAGATTGGCAGAATGGATTTAAAAACAAAACTCATATTTGCTGCCTACGAGAAACATTTCACCAACAAAGACGCACAGACTGAAAGTGAAAGGATGGAAAAAGATAGTCCATGCTAACAGGAACCAAAGTAGAGCAGGTGTAGCCATCCTAATGCCCAACAAAATAGACTAACACAAAAGCTGTTAAGAGACAAAGAGCACTATGTAATGATTAAGGGCTCAATTCAACAGGAAGATGTAACTTATTTATATTATAATATAATCACCTATTATGAACATATATGCACCTGGCTGTTTAAAGGAAATGTTCAGGAATCTAAAGAGAGACTCAAATACAATAGTAATGGAGGACTTCAATACCCTCCTTTCAGCAATGGACAGATCAACCATACAGAAAATTAGCAAAGAAACAGAGTTCATTGACACTACAGACCAAATGGACCTAACAGACATCTACAGAATTTTCCATCCTACAGCCACAGAATACACATTCTTCTCACGAGTGCATGGAATGTTTTCTAGGATTGACCACATGCTAGGCCATAAAGCAAGTCTTAGCAAATTCAAAAAGTCAAAACCATCCCATGCATTTTCTTCGACTACAATGGAATGAAGCTGGAAATCAGCAACTCAGGAATCTCTAGAACATATGCAAACACATGGAGACTGAACATGCTCCTGAATGAACAGTGGGTCACTGAAGAAATCAAAAAGTTTCTGGAAACAAATGAGGGCAGCAATACAACATCAAGACTTAAGGGATACAGCAAAAAGCAGAGTTAAGAGGAGAGTTTATGGCAATTGGTGCCTACATCAAGAAACTGGAAAAGCACCAAATAAATGAGCTATCGATGCATCTCAAAAACCTACAAAAACAGCAAACCAAACCCAAAACTAGTAGGCAAAATGAATTAAAATTAGAAAAAACAAATTTAAACAAAAAATACAAAAGATCAAAGAGCTGGTTTTTTGAAAATATAAACAAAATTGACACACCATTGGCCCAACTAACCAAAAAAGGGAGGAAGACCACCCAAACTGATAAAATTAGAGATGAAAAAAGCAATCTAACAGAAACCACAGAAATAAAAAGAATCTTCAGAAATCACTACAAAGAGCTGTATGACAACAAACCAGGAAACCTAGAAGAATGGATCGATTCCAGGACACATACAACCTACATCAATTGAGCTATGAAGACATAGAAAATCTAAACAAACCAATAACCAAGATGGAAATGGAATCAGTAATAAAGACAGCAGAGAGCTGGATCGGAAGTGGAGCAGCCGGGTCTCAAACCAATGCCCATATGGGATGCTAGCACCTCAGGCCAGGGCATTAACCCGCTGCACCAAAGCACCAGCCCCCAGACTTACTTCTAAGGGTAGAGTTTAAAAACTTGTCATGGGACTCCAAATCCCAATAAGCTTGGTGGTAAAAATGTCATCTAATTGTTAAAGTGATCATATTAAGTGTTAAAGTGAACATATAGATAGGATCAAGTGTCTGGTAATAATAGAATTAAAAAAGAGTATTCCACAATGGGAAGCATGGGAGACCCAAAGGAAGCTCCTGGCTTCGGAGCAGCACAGCTCCAGCTGATCGGGGAGTGAACCATAGGATGGAAAACCTCCTCTCTCCCCCTGCCTCTCCTCTGTGTAACTCTGACTTTCAAATCTTAAAAAAGAAGTAAGTCTGTAGGAATGTATGCAGAACTATACAGATTCACAGTAATGAACTTCCTTCTCCTTCTCTTATTCCCACTCTTATTTTTTCCTGAGATCCATCCTTGATTGACTTTATTCATATATAATTAACTCAGTTAAGAGTTCAACAAATAGTATAAGAGAAAACGAGGGGCCGGTGCTGTGGCTCAGCAGGTTAACGTCCTGGCCTGAAGCACCAGCATCCCATATGGGTGCTGGTTCTAGTCCCAGCTGCTCCTCTTCCGATCCAACTCTCTGCTATGGCCTGGGAAAGCAGTAGAGGATGGCCCAAGTCCTTGGGCCCCTGCACCCACGTGGGAGACCTGGAAGAAGCTCCTGGCTTCGGATTGGCACAGCTCCGGCCATTGCGGCCAATTGGGGAGTGAACCAGCAGATGGAAGACCTCTCTCTCCTCTCTCTCTCTCTCTCTCTCTCTGCCTCTCCTCTCTGTGTAACTCTGACTTTCAAATAAATAAATCTTAAAAAAAAAAAAGAAAGAAAGAAAATACGCTACTCTATAAAAAAGAAAAAAAAAAAAACTGTTCCTCCACAGTCAAGACAAGAACAGCTCAAGTCATCCCTTCTTGAAGTGTCAATTTCTCTTCTACAGATTTCATTTTAGGTGCTCTATTAGCTCCAGCCTTCCTGCCTGGCTCTTATAAAGAGCTCATCTGGACTGCCCTGGGCCCACCTGGACAACCCAGGCTCCTCCCCTGGCTCGAGAGCCTTAAGTGACTCACAGCTGCCGGCTCCTTTTCGCCCCAGAGAGCGGAGAGCGATGGAGTCACAGGTTCTGGGGATTAGGCGCGGCTTGAGGACCGCTATTCAGTTTCTCCTGAGTGTGGGGCCACGCGGTGTTTGGGACGCAGATGATCTTTCTGGGAATGGGAACATGATGGCTGTGCAGCAGGAGGCAGCAAACCTTTTTTTGTAAAGGATCAGAAGTAAAGGATTTCAGACACTGGGGGCCGTGCAGTTTGTCACAACTGCTCAGCTCTGCCCTGCAGCAGGGAAGCAGGTGTAGATAATACAGAAACAAAGGGGCGTGGCTGTGTTAGAATAAAATTCACTTGCAGCTTGGGGCCTCCACCTGCGGTGCCGGCATTCCATATGAGCACTGGTTCGAGTCCTGGCTGCTCCCCTTCAGATCCAGATCCCTGCTAATGGCCTGGGAAAACAGTGGAAGATGGCCCAAGTGCTTGGGCCCCTGCACCGGCGTGGGAGACCCAGAAGTTCCTGGTTTCAGCCTGGCACAGCCCCCACTGTTTCAGCCACTTGGGGCAGTGAACCAGCAGATGGAAGCTCTCTGTCTCTCCCTCTCTGTTAATTCTGACTTTCAAATAAATAAGTAAATAAATTTTTTTAAAAAAAGTGAAAGGAAGGCGGTGAAAATAGAGTACTTTTACTATTTATTCTTTTGTGCATTTTGGCAATATTTTACTTATAGTGTTTTCAAACAATATGAAATTTAAAAAAACAACCGTTTAGTTGGGGCAGGTGTTACACAGGGGAAGCCACAGTTTGGGGTGCCCACTCCCCTGTCAGAACACCCATTCGAGTCCCAGCTCCTGTGTGCTTCTGATCCAGCCTCCTCCTCATGCACTTTGAGTGGCAGCACACGATGGCCCCAGTACCAGAGCCCCTGCCACTCACATGGGAGACCCAGATGGGGTTCCTGGCTCTTGGCTTCAGCCTGGCCCAGCTCTGGCTGTTGTGGGCACTCAGGGGGTGAACCAATTGTACTCTGCAAACTAGCATCACAAGAATGCTTTAAAACAGCCCTGGGGAGAGGGGAGGGTTGCGGGTGGGAGGGAAGGTATGGGGGGGAAAGCCATTGTACTCCTAAGCTGTACTTTGGAAATTTATATTCATTAAACAAAAGTTAAAAAAAAAAAAACAGCCCTGGGGTGCAGCTTGATGGCATTGGGCAGGAGAGCCACTCTGTCCAGGTGTCAGCCTCCAGGCAAAGGCTGCCTGTGAGAGGGGACGATGGCCCCAGCGTGGGGTGGCCTTTGGGCGTTGGAAGTGGAGGCATGAGCCCTCACGCTTTGCCATGAGTTTGCTGATGACTCCGGCATTATGATTACCTCCCAGATACTTTTTTTTGGATTTGGGTGGCATTTCTTCATGAGCCAAGTGTTTAAAGACTATGAGGTGGGACAGTGTGTTGTACAGGTGGTCTTCTCTGTCACTTTAGCATTTTCCTGCACCATGTTTGAGCTCATCATCTTTGAAATGTTAGGAGTATTGAATAGCAGCTCCTGATACGTCCACTGGAAAATGAACCTGTGTGTAATTCGGCTGACCCTGGTTTTCATGGTGCCTTTTTACATCGGCTATTTTATCGTGAGTAACATCCGACTGTTGCATAAACAGCGACTACTTTTTCCTGCCTCCTATGGTTGACCTTTATGTATTTCTTTTGGAAACTAGGAGATCCATTTCCCATTCTCAGCCCAAATAATGGTGAAATTCAGTAAGCAGTTGAGAGAAAAAAAAAAAAAAAAAAAAAAGCAAGTGGATACACAAGGCAGGTGCTTAGGAAAAAGGTACAACCCTTGGGGATGTGACTCCAGGAGTCTAAAAAGTCAACAACCAAATGCCACTAGATGAAGCTGGGGAAGTGGGTGCAATTGCCCAAGGGAAAACTGAAATGAAAGAGATAATTTTGCCCATGGAGTGCAAGAAGACACCAAGAAAAAGTAACAAGGGAAATAAAAGGAAAAATGATAATATGGATGCCAAGAAGGGAAAGTATTTTCAAACAGAAAAAATTCAGTGTCATGGGCCGGCGCCGCGGCTCACTAGGCTAATCCTCCGCCTAGCGGCGCCGGCACACCGGGTTCTAGTCCCAGTCGGGGCACCGGATTCTGTCCCGGTTGCCCCTCTTCCAGGCCAGCTCTCTGCTGTGGCCCGGGAGTGCAGTGGAGGATGGCCCAAGTGCTTGGGCCCTGCACCCGCATGGGAGACCAGGAGAAGCACCTGGCTCCTGCCATCGGATCAGCGCAGCGCGCCAGCCGTGGCGGCCATTGGAGGGTGAACCAACGGCAAAGGAAGACCTTTCTCTCTGTCTCTCTCTCTCACTGTCCACTCTGCCTGTCAAAAAAAAAAAAAAAAAAATTTCAG